TTTCCTTCTTCCTACTTTCTTTAGTTTTTTGTTTTGTTTTGTTTTTGTTTGTTTTTTGAGACAGAGTCTCACTCTGTTGCCCAGGCTGGAGTGCAGTGGCATAATCTTAGCTCACCACAGCCTCCATCTCCTGGGTTCAAGCAATTCTCCTGCCTCAGCCTCCCAAGTAGCTGGTATTACAGGCGCATGCCACCATACACAGATAATTTTTGTATTTTTAGTGGAGATGGGGTTTCACCATGTTGCCCAGGCTGATCTCAAACTCCTGACCTCAAGTGATCTGCCCGCCTCAGCCTCCTAAAGTACTGGGATTCTATGCTCGGCTGGGTTCAAAGTATTCTCTAATTTCCCTTATGATTTATTCTTTGATCCATGGCTATTTACAAGTGTTTATTTTATTTTATTTTGAGATGGAGTCTCGCTCTGTCATCCAGGCTGGAGTGCAGTTGCCGATCTCGGTTCACTGCAACCTCCACCTACCAGGCTCAAGCAATTCTCCTGCCTCAGTCTCCTGAGTAGCTGGGATTACAGGCATGTGCCACCATGCCCGGCTAATTTTTTGTGTTTTTAGTAGAGACAAGGTTTCACCATGTTGGCCAGGCTGGTCTCGAACTCCTGACCTCGTGATCTGCCCACCTCAGCCTCCCAAAGTGCTGGGATTACAGGCGTGAGCCACTGCACCCGGCCTTATTTTATTTATTTTATTTTGAGACAGAGTCTCTGTCGCCCAGACTCCAGTGCAGTGGTGCGATCTCGGCTCACTGCAACCTCTACCTTACAGGCTCAAGCTATTCCCGAGCTTCGGCTTCCCAAGTAGCTGGGGCTACAGGCGCTGGCCACCACACTCGGCTAATTTTTGTATTTTTAGTAGCAATGGGGTTTTGCCATGTTGCCCAAGCTGGTCTCAAATTCTTGAGCTCAGGTGATCCGCCCACGTCGGCCTCCCAAAGTGCTGGGATTATAGGCGTGAGCCACAGCGCCCGGCCTTATTTAATTTGTGAATATTTAATGATTTCTTCCTATGGCAGTTATCAATACATTGCCTCTCAGCTCCAGATTCACCCTCAGTACCTGTTCCATGCCAACTGGGTCGACACTAAGCATTTATCCCTTTTAGTGAGTGCAGTGTTAAGCTTTGTCAGCAGAGGGCACTATAGGGCTATCGCAGAAACAAAGAGGCTCTTGCTGGTTCGTGCGCAGCCTTCGGATTTTTCTTTTT